AACTCAGGGAAAATTATTGGGTGCCGGTCCGTAGTTATAGGTGAGAAGAAAAAAATTCATTAAAATTTAAACATATTTGTTGACGGAAGAAAAAAAATATCCTGTAATTGGATTAAAAATAAAATTGAGTCGGGTCATTTCTAGGCAGTAAATCGGGAGAGAGGGCAACCAAATAATTTTATAACAAATGGTCTTATAAGGCTAGTACATATGTTTCATCACATACTTAGTAATGCAAAATTTTTAATCTTTGGCACTATTTTGAAAAAAGAACATAGGATTTTCGGAAGGGAGAGGGGGGGGGTAGTCTCTCAATTTTTTTTGCGATGGTAGACATAGCATATGTAATGGGACCTTTCTTTGCAAACATTGTGATTGCTTCTAAATTTCAAAGAAACAACTCAATATATTTCATCAAGCTTCGTATGTTCATTGAGCGAGAGCTTACAACGTAGTCAACATAATGAGACATGATGCTTTTTTATGTCCAAACATTACTCCATACAATGTGTTGGTCATTGCAAACAATCTAGCTATTTATGTGAGGTGCCTGAAGGAAATCACACAACTGCTTATTTTTTTCTATCTAACTGCTAAACAAAATAGACATATATACCAACTTTTCAATGTAAAACATGTAATTACAATTTGTTTTTCATGCACCGCATATTGTTTAACATTTTCAAATTAAATGCTAAGCATCCTCCTTGCAGTGCCCCATTTCAAAATAACTTCTATCGCCACGGAAAAAAAAACCCGACGTAAACACATATGTTTAGGGCCTTTTTTATCTTTTTTCTTGAGTTTTAAAGAAACCAACAAATTATCAAGACTTGTTACACGAAAAATTAAATATGATCATGGTAATAAACGCATATATCTACAGCAGATATATCCACATGCCAACCATGTGCTCAGTGTAATAATATTAACGAGGAAACTCGAGTTTTGAACAGAACAGTTTTTCCCGATTTGCTGAAGTTGGATTAAAATCGCGGTTTTTCATTAATCAGACGAAGCAATGCAACAAATAAAAGTAGTAAGTAATATAACTTAATTATTATTAAAAAAGTAATTTCTTGTCTTGATGTTATTATGGTCGCATTTATTCTAAAATCAATGTTATTCGAACTCTGGGTGACAGAGAATGGCGGACGAAATAAACACATGGCCTCAGGAAGACACACATATGAAAAATCAAATTTTCAAGAATTTTGGATAATGACAAGAAAAAAGCGAAACAAATGGTTGTAGCCATGTTATCAATGAATCAAACTAACACCATTTTCAATGCATTTTTCATCTCGTGAATGCTGTAGCTGCGCAGTTCTAACATGATTAATTTCCTCCTAATTAAAACAAAATAAACTTAATAATTTACTAATTTTGGTCTTTAACAGTAGCTAATTAGTGCATTAGCACTTTGAGTAACTTTGGGCTAGTTTAGGAGTATTAAGCGCATTCTTGGTATTTCTTATTTTACACCAGACTAGATCCAATATGGCTTGTACATCCCCCTTAAATGACGTCAACAGAATACAATTGAAGATTTTTCGTTTAAAGTCAAATTTGGAGCTTTGGTTTAAGGTCATAATGCAGAGATGTTTATTGACATATGCCAATCGTGACAAATTGGTTGAAAGTTGATATTTTTAAACGAAAGATTTGTGACTTTAATACAAATCCCATTCCTTTGATGAAAAATTATAAGTATTTTTTTAGGTTTACGTATAAGGTTTGATAAGGGCAGCAGAGTCCCGATGACGAAATGTAAAGCCTGCCACAAAGCTAAAGTGATAGCCATAACAAAAAAATTAAAAGGTTTAATTTCACCAAAGATTTTGAAAATATTTTTTTAAATTGTTTTGCCAAGATTTAATTTTAATTAATTTTTAGGACATAATCTGAATTTAACATTAAATGATTTTTTTAAAACAAAATTTTACCTTGATTTTTCTCAGATGTATTTCAGAGAAAATAATGGTATTTATTTTTTATACATTAAATTAATTTCTAGAAGATATCCTTTATATATGATAAAATATATTTTTATGGTTAAAGGAAAAAAAATCCTTAACCTTTTTCACTGAAATCAAAATTTTTCGTGCTACATATGAAAATGCCTTGGGAAAAATTTTATAAACTTGTGAAATTATTATTTTAAAAAATCTGTAAAATTACATTTTAATTCTTCAGTTTTTAAAGGTTGAAAAAATGCTTGTTTAAATAATGCAAAATCATGCTTATTAATTTTAAGTTGTTTTTCTAAGATACAAAATTCATCAAATGGATAATGGCATGTACATTTTAAAGAAAGATTCTAAATAAAATAAATATAAATGGAATTTAAAATTTGGAAATATTTTTTATGCACAGAAACAAGATTCCGTTGGCACGATGATCACTGCTCAATTGTAGCCATTTGAATGTCTCTTAAAAAACACTATAGTTCGGTCGTATTTTAGTCGTAATTTTGATGGTCCCTTTTCAAAACATTTGATAACATTTGAATAAAATGAACCGCTTTCAATTTTAAATAAACTGCATCAAATTTTAGGAGAATATGCTTATATGCTACCTGAAAAAGTCGATGCGCAAGAGCATGTTTTAAAACAATGCAAAATTTTGACAAAAAGGCTAATGACGTAAGGATGCCGTCTCGTTTACAGTCGATATGAAGACACTCTGAGTATACAATATTTTATCTTTTATGTTGATCGCTGACTGATTTTTTTCCCTCAAATTACTTTGCCTTTGTTTTGTTTCATATATCTATCAACTTTACAGGTTTTTTCCTTTAATAAAACAGTCCACACCCCTAATGTTAATAGCTCTGTGGCCGCTCTACTCCCAACATATCTTGTTCTCAAGTACTTCGAAAATCGAAAATAATTGCTTTATTTATCTTAATATTTTTGGGGGAAATTCAGTTTTAAACTGATTCCTCCAATAACTTTCTATTCCTTTTGTAGCAGTTTGAAAAGGTAATAATTTCTTGTGATGTGATAGTTAGTCTATATCTAGAAATTTTTTTTATTGTAAATCATTATCTTAAAAGAAAATCATGTTTTACAGAAATTCAAATCTGTAACAAATGCTAATTCAAATAGATTATTTTTAAAGTCAGACATCTAAAGAAAACCTGCACTTGGCATAAGCATTTTTCAAGGTTTGCAAATTTGCTATAAATTGTCATTTGTTAAAAAAAAAACCTTAGGTGTCAGAGTTTGATCTAATTAAACAACCAGATAAAAGAAGTAAAATTCATTTACATTTTTAAGATATGATTTTATTAACCCATTTTAATTTATAACATGAAGAGCAATTATATATTTATTATTTATATATATATATTTCTCTTATTTGTCAAGATATTATGTAATATTCATTTTCATTCAAGATAGATAGACTTAATGACAACAACAGGAGTAAAACCGTATTGATTTATGTAAGATATACGTGCACACAATTGTAATACGTGCAGTGGTCATCAGAAGATGTTTCAGTATCTGAATCGATCCACTTTCCCTTTATCCAAGCATTAATTTACCGCTTACCATTCATTCACATTCAGCGTACACAGTTTTGAGCATGTTCAGTCACTGTCGTGCGGAACTCCTAATGAAAAATTTAAATTTTTCTTCTGAAAGAAGTCTGTACTAATATATAAATCAAGCAGCCTGTCCAAATAATAGAAAAATAAAATCAATTTTAAAATACGAGGATTCATTCTCTCTAAAAATTTCTCAAGGTTTCTCTCTCTCTCTCTCTCTCTCTCTCTCTCTCTCTCTCTCTCTCGTAATACTAAATATATAAATAGCATTTAAAAATCTGACCTACTTTGGAATTTTTATAAATTATATTTAATGTGGCCTTCAACTCGACATTTAGATATATCGATGATGTACATGTATTGTCAATTTTCAATCATTATGGTTACTAGTATTTCTATTGTTATGTCGATAGGAGCTATCACTGTGAACTTAAAATAAAAGATGCCACAGAGTCTGACAAATCTGTTGCTCATTTGAAAATTTTACTTGAAAAAGACGTTAATGGTTATATAACAACCAAGCTTTATGATAAATGTGATGCTTTTCAATCGTCATCTTCTCTTATTTATGCAGCAATGTATCTTCATCATCTTTTAATGTTTATCTCTCTATTGATTCGAAATGAACAGTTTCTAAAACGAAGTAAGTTATTACCAAACAAGTTGCTGAAACAAGAATATCAGAAGTCTCGTTTATAGTCATCATTTCGTAAGTTCTATGGTCGATATAATGACCTTTTCAGCCAATACAATTTATCTGAAATTCAAATGATGACTTACATTTTTTTTAAAATTGATTTTTAGGCCACACTGAATTACCGACGGATTTTTATTTATTTCTCGATCATGACAAGGGGCATACGGCGGCTGTGACCTTTTGGCAGGGGGTGCTTAGTCCTCCTTGGCACATGATTCCATCTTTGATGTTTTGGAGCTCCCTGATTGTTCTGCTCCAGTTTTGAATTGTTTAATGAATTTTTTAGCTTGAATACTGTTCGTTATCTCCAAATTTTTCACACTAAAATTTCTACGGATTCCATTCAAGCCATTCAAACAAAAAAATTCAAGAAAAGAGCAAACCCGATCCTTTTAAACATCAGAGATTGGATCATGTGCCATGGAGGAGTGAACGCCCGCCTTCTGCACAACGAGTGCTTCGGGAAGTGGATGAATGCAGCTGGACCCTTCTCCAACGAAAGGCTTGTTTAGTCCCTCCCATGCCGTTAATGGTCCCTATCATTCCCGATGGAATCTGGAATTTTGAGAATTCTGTTGATGGGTGGCTTGTCAAAGATATCTTCAGGTATACGTAGATGTCATTTTTATGCGCCCGGATCGATAGATCCAGGGCGTATATTGTAAATGCAATACTAGTGTATTATTTATCAGGGGATGTGATGGTAAGGGAGGATATTAACATTAAGTATGCGGAGAAAGTTCTTTTTTAAACAAGTATTGGTAACAATTTTCAGTTTCTGTCTTGCTGGTCATTTCAATTTCTTCATATTCATTGTTGTTCAGAAGTGTTATAAGTTATTCCTTTTTCACTTTGAAAGCTTATTACTAACATTATAAACTAAAATGCTGCATGTGCATATTAGTGTAAAAAAAAAAAATGAACAAAATATGCAGCATTTCAGTGTATGTTATTGTTGAAATATTTCTTGTTACAGTTTGTTTCTTTTTTTTTTTTATGTAGAATGAGCAGTATTTTAGGGGGATTGCTGCTCTTGCATTCATTTAGTAACAAACAGTTGGTAAGCATTCACACAGACCAGTTGTTTTATGTGAAATACATGTACTATAAATGTAATGCACATGTAAAATTATGAAAGTAAACATTTCCACCTTTTTTTTCAAATTACAGATGAATTTAATTTTTTTTCTTTACAAACTCATTGCAACATGATGTGAAGGATAACTTTTTTCCTTGTTATATCACTTATTTATAACAAAAAATATGAATTTTTTAGATACCACTGGGCATTTTGCTTAAAAATGAAAACAAAACAAATGACATGATAGAGATCCTGGAACACTTGCATCAGTTTGTCCCTGGGGCAAGGACAGATGTGGATGAAATTCATGAAAGGTTATTTATTTTATTTATGATTAATAATTTGAATAAGAATCCATGAGCACACAATCATTAGTTCTAAATTATGAATGATGATTAATTTGTTTTCAGAGAGGAAAGAAATATCCAAATGCGAGCCATTCCAGTTGGAGGTGACCAACTTACATGCGAGAGGAATACGTGGTGCACATATGGCCCGTCTGGATGCTGATAGCCAAGAGGAAAGACTGGAGGGACTAATTACGATGGTTGAAGACTTCCATGAGAAGATAAACTTCCTACAGGTAATGCAATAAAATTCTAACAGTTCATTAGTAGGGATGTAAAGATATACCTTTACATATCATGATGCACACAAATTTGGTCAGTTACTGACAGCAATTTTGAATACAAATTTCTTAAATACAGTTTGAAAATTAAACTTTACATCTTTTAATTGCTTTACAAAATGTAATATATATATTTGAATTTTGGAAAATAGAATAAAATAATTTATTTCAATACATCTAGGTTTCAGGGATGACCATGTGTTTGTCATTCTTGCATTTGTTTCAAACAGTTATGACTTTTGAATGGTTACTGTTTAATACAGCTTTTACGACTCTTCACAATTAATTACAACTTCTCTATTTATGCAAATTTTTATTACTTGTTTTTAGGAAAATGAAGATTTCATTTTTAAGATGGCAAAGTCTTTTTTTCATTTTATTGGGATAGTTTTATTATATTGTAGGCAATGATGGATAGGTTCTATAAAGCAGCCAGTGCAAGAGAAATGGGGACACTGTACCAACTTCAGAAACATTATTAACAGAAGAAATGTTGTAAAAAATGCAAGTGCTGATTACCATGCGGTTGGTTCTTTTATTGATTTGGTTACAGATGCACACATTATCACAGCAGCTTTGAAAGCATTTGGTATGACAAATATTGAGGACCCTTGCCCAAAAATTCCTCATTTCATGGATCTTGTGATGAAAATGCAAAAAAGAGAGTTTTGGATAAGATAGTTGGGAAATGGTGGACACCTTTTTCTTGAACAGCTTTGCATTAACTGTAAATAGAATGGAAGGTAATGCAAATGAAATGGGGGGTCCAATTACAGATGATGGGGTATTCAATTATGCCACAAATGTTACAAAATATGGACTTCTTAGAAAAATTTCTGTTCTGGCCACCAGAAGTGGAGATGGTATTCGACTAATAAGGCACTGGAAATATGCCCTGTTAGTATATGACCTATCACACAAGATTAAGTACAGACTTGAATCTTTCCTACTTTTGGCTGGTGTGAATGCAGTTTTCACAGAAAAGCAGAGACATCAGATTATCTGGAACCGGTTTGTAAATTTGTCTGGAGGAAAAGATAAAAATCTTGATGGGGATTATGTCATGGAGTTGCTTAACAAGTATGCAAAAGGACGTGTAAAATTATTGGGTCCTAATCAAACACCAGAAGTTGTAGACAGGATCGGGAAGACAATGATGTTTTGCCATAATGTGAATGAAAAACTGGAAAGAGAAATTGGAGTTCATCAAGGAGGCACTGCTCATGCACAAAGAGACAAAACACTTGATTTGAGAGCTGTTGTAAACCAGTTAAAAAATGCTGATGTATTTTCCGTCATAAGAGGTAGGCGACATGACTCATTTAATGAACAATTTGATATGTTCCATGAAGTTAATTCACAGGTTCTTCATAAGTGGTTGAATGATAAGAAACAGGAGTATTCAAATGGAAAGTATGCATTTTAAGTGACTGTCTTATGAAATGTATGTGTCATTTTACTTTTGTGAAATATTTTGTTTTGATACTCAAATGTTTTCCATACCATATGCATTTCTTTTGATGTTAATGGTGCAGTTTAATTTCTAAAGATGATATGTTTCAAAAGTCTTAAACCATTTAATAAATTTGATTACACATTTTGCCATTTTTCAAACTCCTTTTGATGTATCAAGTTACTCTGTAAAGACATTTTCTTATATTAATTTTGTGCTTAGGCGATATAAAATTAATTTTTAGATTCTCATCCCCGCCCGCCCCTCTCAAAATGTTCCGCCCCGATGTTTTTTATTTTGATTTTTGGGTATTTTCATGTATTTTTATTTAGTAAGAATTTGGGTCAAAGTTTAAGAGTTATCTCCCGTCTGTATTAAAAGTCGCGTGTCGCTATTTATAGCAAAAACGCCATGTGAAGAATGGAGAAAAATCGGCAATAAAAGCAGTTTAAATGTGTAAGGAAAAGATAATTTGTCAGTATAGAGAAGGCAGAGAAGAAATAATAGCATAAACACATATAGATACCATCACTGGCAGGAGTAAGTATGTAGAGAGATTGTATTGTAACTAAGTAAAAATAGACGAGGAAAGTCAAGTTATATATAACGATCTCCAGCTGTGTGACTTAGCTTTGAAATAAAAAAAAAAATCTACAACATCGTAGACAGACTTAAGAGAAGGCCTAGATTTTTCAGTAGAATATTTATTAGAACATTTATATAGATTTTGCAAAATAAGAAGTCACGCATACACAGTTTATTGGTATCCCCACCTCATTTTGTTAATTCAGGGTGTGTCGTATAATGTGTACTTGATAATTTGTTAATTAACAATAAATATTTAACTTAAAAAGAAAAAATTCTTTAAATATTTAAAAGAATATGAAAAGAATTAAATCTATTCATATTTGCATTAAGGTAATGAAAAAAATGTGTACGGGGCGTCCATTGTTTTGTTGATACTTAGGCCTATATATAAATTAACAATTATAAAAAATAAAAAATAAAATCCGCCCACCCGCCCCAATTTTTTGGCAAATTAGGATGAGAATCTAAAGATTAATTTTACCTGGCCTTATCTGTGAATTAATAAATGTGATAAACACTTTTGAATGGGGTTGAATAGTTTTTCAGTTTATAAACAGAAAACTGGTAGCTGCAAGAATGAAGCCCTGTCCAATTTTTAAATCTATATCTAATCTTTTCAGAAAATTCAAAAAAAAAAAAAATAAAAAAAAAATTGGAGAGCTAAATTATTGCAACTAAAAAGAAGAGCTCAACATATCAGTGATAAACTTAGAGTGTAAATAATCAAGGTTGTATATACTGTATTCAGGGAAATTTTTGGCCCATTTTTATTTTCCCCCTTCCCTTATTTGAGCCAATTTAAAACAGAGCGAATTCAAAGAATGCAGTATAATTTCTTAAACAGTACTATGACTGAAAAAATTTAAACCAGGACAAACTTGTTTGCGAGTGTGAAAGGGGGATAATAACAAGGGACGAAAATAACCCTGTATACAGTATTTATATTTGCTTCAAATTAATTAAATATTCAGAGCTCTCAAAGAATTCAAAGATAATAAATCAGTGTGATGCTTTCATCATATTATTAAATATGTAAGCACATCTCATTTGCATCAGATGTATAAAAATGTGCAATGCAATAATGTAAACACTTCTCAATGCCTTCTTTATTTGTAAGGAAAACAAGTGTGAAATGTAAATATAATAATTTAATATAATACAGCACTGAAATTAACAAACAAGCATAAATTTGGGAATGGTGCAAACCTAAAAAAAACTGTTTATCTAGGCACTGCATGTCACATTTTAAAAAAAAAATAATTGAATGAACAATGAGTTACATATAAATACCTGAATATACAGAGAAACAGGGATGTTAAATTTTGGTGAACTCTATTTACAGGTGCAATTTATCACCATTTAAAACATGGTATCATTAACAGACTGCATATAAAAGTGTAAGATTATCTGAATGTATTACTTCTACATCATGGAGCTACTAAAATTGAAACTGAGGCACATAAATCGATCAATCATCATGATCATCAAGTACTTCATCAATAATGCACATCACTGAACTTGCAAGATTTTTGTCAAATATGTACTCAGACAATAAATCCTCTATACTACCTATATAGTGAACATTGCTTACAACTGAATCAATCAATGAATCACTTAATCCAGTTAAGATACCAACATTTAGTAAAGATGGACCACTGTCCTCTAGACATATTTCTCTATACTCCTTAAGTTTTTCAGATATTTTGTTGCGCTGTCCTTCTGACACCGTATGGCACATCACTAATTCGCAATTTAAGGTAGCAGCATGCAAAGCAGCATTTTCTTCAAAGTCTGACAAAAGAGAGTCATGTAAAGGTGGACAATTTAAACATTCACATGTTTTACAGCAATTATCACAGCACAAATGTTTTGGAGTTACTGGTAAAGATTTATTGACATCAGGTGTGAAGAATTCTTGCAAAAGCACTCTTCTGCAGGTTTCAGCCATTGCATATGACCTCATTTTGTCATCCGTTGCTGTTTTGCCAATGTCCATTCCATGATAGTACAAGACTGACATTGCACTTCTACCATCTCTGCCACACCTCCCGAATTCTTGCATGAATTCCTCAATAGATCTTGGTGCTCCCCAGTTTAATACCATATCTATATCAGGAACATTTACTCCTAGGCCAAAAGCAGAGGTACAAATGACCACCCTTATCTTGCTATCAACTTTTGGAAATTCATCCATGACAATAGTTTTGCACTTATTTGATGTTGAATGGTGATACATAGCAACTAATCTATTCTTAGCACAATGAACACCACAGTATGCATTGTCTCCCAGAACATCTGTAAAGAGTTTGAACAGCACTGAACACGCTTTAATGCTGCGACAATAAATAACCGTCTTGGGACATTGCTGCTTATGATTCCTTAGGTTTTCCATCAACCACGTCAACGCAGGTTTCCCATCACGAGGTGCTTTAACACTATTAAGAATAATGTTTTTCCTGTCACAATTGCCAACAACAACATTTCCTCTCTCCATACAAAGTTTCTTCATAATTGAAGTCCTGGAGATTGGTGAAGCAGTTGCTGTCAATGCCAACATGTTAGAGTTTGGTAGAATACTTCTTAGCTCTGCTAATCTTCCATAATCCGTTCGAAATTCATCTCCCCTGTAATTATGGAGTACATTTATAAAACATTTATACCAGGATCAAGATGAATCAGGGAAAATTTGAGAAAAAAAAATTATTTCACAATAGTTAAGATATGAACTGTAAGAGAAAAGTTTCAGTTTTTAGCTTACATGTGCTAAATAGCCTGCATCTTGTCTTAGCTATATGTAGTCTATTGA